AAGCTTAAGCTAATATAAGTTTTTTTAAATAAAATGTAGCTTATGTAAGTAGTTTTAATAATGATTCTGTTGAATAACTATATTTAATAATGCCTAATTTAGGCGACATATCTGTAGAATATAAAATATTTGATGTTTTCATAATTCATTTAAAGATAGTTAAGACACCCCCTTTCCCAAAGAATTTATAGTCGTTTTTTTCAGGAATATTGTTGGTTTGTCGGTATTTGATACAATAAACATACAAGATGTCAGAAATGTTTCATTTGAGTGGTTTGTAGACATTCATGAAACCCTTTAAACACGTTTACCCAGGAAAATGTTTAAAGCGCTATGCAAACTTTTTTATCAACTAGCCCAACAACCAGAAAAGAGGATGAGAAAATTATATTTTGATAACGCTTTTTAATTACGCGGTATATCTATAGAACTTTTTATTTAAGCGGCATATCTATAGAACTTTTTAATTAAGCGGCATAACTATAGAATATAAAGTATTTGCTGTTTTAATAATTCATTTCAGTGGATTTTTTTTTTTTTTAAGAAACTCGTTTTTTTAAAAGTCGATCAGAAAAGTACTCTTAAAACGAAAATTGTATTGATATTTATTATTCGATGAACTTGGTATTATAATTCCGAGATTTAACTCAATGGGAGATGCGGTTAACTTATGAAAATGTTGTATAATTCCCTTAATTTTATCATTTTTGTATCTACCTATCCTCATATATAAAAATAATAAAGAGGTTTAGCCGTTATAAAGAAAAATCCATTTTGCGCCTATATACATATCACAAAACAAAGGCGTTTAATTAATACAAAATAAGTTATAAGTCTATTTAAACCTACATAAAACCAATTAAATGTAGGCAGTTTTGAATTTAAAAATTATATTTTATCATTTTTTACCAAGATCTTATTAACATAATTTAATATAAGACCTTTATTAGTGCAAATGAATGTTAATACTCAGTTATTCAAACACATGGTTTTTATGATAATTTTATGATTCCTTTGTTGATTGACCTTCTTTGTTATCCTTAATTTGTTGCTAAATAAAATAAATTATAGACAACAGGTTTTGTAGATTATACAAAAGAAAAAGTTTTTAAATGCTCCAACGATGATTTTAGTAGATATATAATCGCATATTAAAACAATTTGACACATAATTTTAATATATATATATATATATATATATATATATATATATATATATATATATATATATATATATATATATATATATATATATATATATATATATATATATATTAGGGTGGGTCATAAAATTTTTTTTTCTTGTTACAGGCTCTAAACTTTGCTAATAAATATTAATATTGATACGATCAAATATGAGAATGATTGTGATAGATTTAAAGGGCACAACTTTATTGGGAACATTACCGCTACCCTAATATTTTGGTGAAAAAAGGTTATTTAAAAGTAGATCAACCTGGTACTCAAAAGAAGCGAAATTTTATAAACAATTCGAAAATAACAATCGTTTTTTTGAAAATCATATTGCCGAAAAAAATTGTTATTAAAAAACATGTAAAAATGCACCTTTTTCACTTTAACTTAAAAAACTATAGTTATTTATGCAATAAAATCTAAAATAATAATTTTTATATGAAAAAATTGTTATTTTTGAAATTTTTATAAAATTACGCTTTATTTGAGTACCTACATCACATAATTTTAAAAAACTTTTTTTTTGAATAATAATAATAGGGCCTGCTAATTTTTGTAATTATAGTTGCGGGTGGAAGACATTGTTCAATCCATAAAAGTAAATACTTTCCTAAATTAGTACATAAAAAAACAACTTTCTATACCATAGCCAGGTTAGCAACTCTAAAAAAAAATTTTATGACCCACCCTAATATATATATTTATATATATATATATATATATATATATATATATATATATATATATATATATATATATATATATATATATATATATATATATATATATATATATATATATATATATATATATATATATATATATATATTATATATATATATATATATATATATATATATATATATATATATATATTTATATATATATATATATATATATATATATATATATATATATTTATATATATATATATATATATATATATATATATATATATATATATATATATATATATATATATATCTTTTAAAAATACTTCAATATATTAAAATTTATGATGATAATCTATTACTCTGAGGATAATCTTAGCTTTTTTATATTTTAGAGTTAATTTGTAATAACAAATTAACACATGCTTTTTATATATTTTTAGTATACTAAAAATTTATGATGATAAATAAAATTAAAGTTAAAGCAGTTTAAAATCTGAAGTTTTGAAGTAAAAAAATTAAATATATAGATTTAAAAAAAAAAAATTTTGTCTACACAAGTTTAAAGTTTCATGAAAGTGTTGTTAAAAAATGCTTTTGATTGTTTGAAACAAAATTATGTTTCAAAATTACTTTGAAAAAAAAGTAATTTTTGTTTTTATTTAATTTAAAAAATGTTTTGTAATTGAATCACATGTTGTTAAAAGGGTGTTAGGGATCGTCCATAAATTACGTCACGCAATTTTCAACTTTTTTTGACACCTCCAACCCCCCCACCCTCATCGTAACACTTTAGTAACAAGTCCCGTATGAGTTTTCACAAAACCACTACCTCTCCTTCTTCCCTCAGAACGTGACGTACTTTAAGTCAATAAGTCAATATTTTTATCAAAACGAGTTTAATTTGGTTTTTTTATTATTTTAAGGTAAAATGTTTGCGTTAAAAGAGAGTTTTTAACTTTACCCATAACAACTTTTAGTTAAAAGGACATATACACTGTAAAAGAAGTCTCGGAATACATTAAGTCAAGCACAACAAAATTAGACAAGTTTTCAATTTGTGAAATTTCTTTCTCATACATTTTAATTTACAAAGCATAGATGAAAACGAGACCAAAAGTAAAAAGGTAGGGAAAAAAAATCTTCCTAAAAAGTACGTTAAACATAGTTTATTATAGAAAGTACACTAATACATATTAAAGGACGTTCTACCATAAACAGTCAGATTCTTCTTTTCATCTTTTTTATGTTTAAGACACCTGCTGTTCAACCACCCACATCTCCAGCCTATCCTGCAGAGAAAAAGTACTTTTAATTTATGAAATTTATTTAATTTTTGAAATATTTTTTTTGTGACTTAGCCCTTTCAACAAAAACTAATTTAGTTTTCATAACAATAAAATGTTTCAGAATTTATTAAACAATAAATTGCGTTACCGAAACAAATAATGCTTCTCAACGTTAAAACAATAATAGAATGATTTTATCTAAATAATAGTTGTTTCTACTTTTGTACTCAAACCTAAACTATTTTCAGATGAAATTCCTTTACTTTGTTTTACTTAATTTTAAAAACTCTATTTTGTTTAGTAAAATACGCCTGAATATACACAGAACAAAATATTTCGAGTAAACGAACATATAATCGCAGTGAAACACAGACAAAACATATCAAAACATCTAATTTAAAATGTGTAATGATAAAAATTTAGTTCTTTAAACTTTAATTGATTGATGATTTTAAACAATTTATCATAATTATCATAATTTATCATAATTACATGAAAGTCTTTTCTATCAGAACGTAAAACATCTGTTTTAAAAACGTTTGGAAACAAAATTGTACAAACCATACTTTAATTAATATTAAAGAAACTAAACGAGAAGTACTAGATTAAAAACAATTTGCTCGGGGAGTGCTTGTGAATCTGCTGGAGGAGTGTTTGTGGATCTGCAGGAGGAATACTTGTGTATCATAAAGGTATTTGGCACAGTTGACCATGAAATATTTTGATCAAAGTTATGTCATTATTTTGTCTTAGCAAATGCTTTATTAGGTTTATATGGAATAGCTTTAATAGATTTATTATGTTTGATATTTTATTAGGGTTTTTTTACTTTGCTTGCATCTCGTTTGTTTGAAGTTTAATAGAAACTAATTTAATTTTACAATTAAACTAGTATTATACCAAGGTATTTTATTTTTTTCAAGACGATACAGTTTTTTTCCATTAACTCTAACACTAAGTTTTTTATCCCCTTTTTTTTCTAACTTAAAGAGTAATTTTGTTTTTGTTTGTTTCTTTGTTTGTTTGTTTTTTTATTTTATTTTTGGTATTTGGGGAAATTTTGTTTTGCGCGTAACCACTTAACCAAACATGATAAGTCATATTAAGAAAGTTATTTAGTTTTTTAGAGATTTTTCATCTATTAAAAGGTTTGTATTATCAGCAAACTAATAGGTTCTAGTTTTTACACAAGTTGTAGAAAACATGTATTGTAGATTATAAGTTAGTTGATTCATGTAGAAATCCAAGCTCTTTTGATGCACATGATTCTTTCATGTAGTTTGCCAATATTTGTAAATTCTGTTTAGAGCTATTTTTAAAGATTGATGTTACTTCTGTTTAGAGCTATTTTTAAAGATTGATGTTAAGTTTTGAATGATTTTTTTACTATAGTACTTAGTAGTTAACAAAATCCTTGGAATAAAAAATTTTAGAATAAATTTCATTCTTTAGTGTATACGTTACCAAACAAAGTTGAGTATCTAATACCGTGTATTAAAGAAAAATATACGTCACAATTTAATTCTGTATTGGCCTCAACTATGTTGGTATGCGTGTAATAATTTCAAATTATTTAAACATTAAACTGTTATACATAATTGTAAGGAGATTAAAATTACTAAAATGATTAAAATTAATATGAAATTAATATAATAATATGATGGCGTAATATAAATCTTCAATTTTACAAGAAGAATCAATTAAGTAATAAGATTATTATACAGATTTCTTAAAAAATCGTAACCAACTTTGAAAATCAAAGTTCAATTCACGGTATTTTCATTATGGCAAACTATTTTTTATATTTTCAATGAAGTCAACAAAAGAAAAAAAGAAAACTAGGTACCTCCACTGCGTGAGAAATTTGGCAAGTACTCAAACTTCAGTTCCAAATTGAATTTTAGTTTGAATTTTCAATTTCAATATTTCAAATAAAACTTAAGTTTATATAAAATTATAAACAAAACAAAAAATACACAAAAAATTTTTCACAACACAGACGTCAAACTCGCTTTAAAAAAACAGGTAAGAGTCAGAGATTTTTATTTAAATCAGTATTTTAAAAGACAGTAATACGCAAATACATAAACTATGTCATCGTCATTAGAAAAAGTTTTAGATAATAAAGATAAAATAAATTTAACAGTATTAAACACTGTACATAAGGAAATCAAAGATTTTGTTTCTTTTAAAAGCATCTTCGTCAGAGCATAAAATACCATTTTCTGCTTCCGCTCAATAAACTAACAAACATTTGAATAGAATAGCTTTTTGTAAATTCATAATAAATATTATGAACAAATTCTATACTATTGATTTCTTAAAATGCAGTAAAATATATTTGCGAATTGAAGTCGTGAATTAAAATATAACATTAGGAATATTATATATAAAGCAACTTTTGATAAATTTTAGAAAAGCGAGCATAATAAATTTAAAAACTTGTATTTATCAGAAGTATTTATTTTTATAACAAAAACAATAATAGGTTGGATGGATAAAAAAAATTGTTTTTGCTCAGTAATTGATCAGTTTTAAGTGAATAAAAACTTAAGCCGAATTGCTGAAATTTTTATTCACGTAAAACTGACCATTTACTGTGTAAAGACATTTGCTTTTTTTATTTACCTGGCCTAATATTTCTGATCAATGTAAGTTTTTTTATAAAATGCACGAATGTCAAAAACATTCCAAGTTAATGATCTCCTACTCACATCGTCCAATATAACCGTAGTTACAGATTATAAAACTTGATTGAATCATTGTTGAAGAAAGAAAAAAAAATGTATTTCGTCACTTAATCCCAGTTACTTCAAAGTAAGCTCAGCCATTTATGTTTGAGGTATAAAGTACATTTAATAAATGCACTAATTACCTACTGTTGTCTATCTTTGCAGGTGACTTTCTAAATAAATTTTAAAAAGTTTACTAGTGGTTTTAGAGGTTTCCAATTATTTAAAATTTTGTTTATTGAAAATTTTGAAATTCAAAAGCTTGGTTAAAAAATGCGTTTTATAATTATTATGTTTTTGATCTCGCTGATTCATTTTGGAAATGTCGAATGTGTTGTTGGAAAAACTTGGAAAAGTATCGAAAACGAAGAAAATTATAAAAGAGTGACGGAGATTGTTGTTGATAAATTAACTTCTAAAGTGATGGTATTATTTTCTATATAATAAAGTAACTAACTTTACAACAGTGTTAAAAGCGGTGATAATTGCATTCCGCAGTTTAATCTTTATAATACAAGTTGATCTGTTTTATCTTATTTGTTTATCTTAGGTCTATTACAAGTAATTTACCGAAAGTAAAGTACCGAAAATTAGGATTTATCAACCATATTTTTTTAAAATTTTAAGAAAGTTTTAATTAAAAGTTATTATTAATATCATGTAAGTTTATAATAAAAACACGCTTGTCACTGATTCCTTGATCCCGTAACGCAAGAGGCCGTAATGATCGCTATTATAAAAAGGCACTATTGTCGCAATAAATTTTATAAAGAATTGTTTTAAAATATTTATTTAACTTTGAATTTTTCAATTTTTATCCTTTTTTTTTCAGACATGTAAACTTTTACTTTGAACTATTTGTCTCTTAATATTAACACTCATTAAATATGCGTTATATATAAATTGTTTTAGGTTCCAAGGTTTAACTTTACTTATCAAAATAGATAAAAGTTTTATATCTTAATGGTTGCTAAAAACAAGCACCACGGCCCCCCTTTATTTACTAGTAATATATATAGCGATATATATATATATATATATATATATATATATATATATATATATATATATATATATATATATATATATATATATATATATATATATATATATATATATATATATATATATATATTATCGAATAATTCAAAAAAAAAAAATTCTAATTTTTAATGATTGAAATAAATTCTTTTTAACTGTTATAAGTTTAGTTTGTATTTTTACTTTAAATTTATTTTACAGAGGGTGATAAATAAAAAAAATATTAATAATAATATAAGTTTTGAATAACATTTTAATTGCTCAATTAAAAAATCTGCGAATAACAGCAAAGTCAGCATTCTGCAGTTTACTTTGGATATAGATAATCAAATAAATAGATGAAATAGATTATTTTACTATTTTAGTTTACTTTTTTTTAATTTAGTAGTCTTTTTAAATATAATGATTTTTTAGAGTATGATTGACGACGTGGAATTGATAAACGACTATGAATGACGCTAAGAATGATGATGAATGACGATGAATGATGATGAATGAATGATAATGAATGACGATATTTCATGAAACTGTAGCTGCAACTTTATAACGAATTTAAGAAAAGCTAAAACAACAAAATGCGTTTATTTTACTATTAGTTTTTCATAAGCTAATATTATTGTTATTTTATATATATACATATATATATATATATATATATATATATATATATATATATATATATATATATATATATATATATATATATATATATATATATATATATATATATATATATATATATATATATATACACATATATATATATATATATATATATATATATATATATATATATATATATATATATATATATATATATATATATATATATATATAAATTTAAAGTAAGAATATATATACTATCACATTTTCTCTTTACCACCAGTAATAAAAATACAGGTAAAACAAATTATATTAAAACAGTTACTTATTAAACAAAGAATAGTTATCACGTGATGACTTTTGAACTATTTTCACTATATGTAATATATGTATGTTACATACATTGTTAATGTTACAATATAACAACTGTATGTAAGAACTGTACACAGCTCTTTCAATTGTTAGCAGTAATAACAACGGTTTTCCAAAGTTGATTGGTTCAGTAGTCTAGAAATATACTCCTCCATTGAAATTTTAAGTTATGCACTTTTCTCTTTTAAATTCATTAATAGGAACAATTCTTTTAAAATTGATACAACATCGGCTTGTAGTTTGTCGATATGTGCATGTTTATATAAACCAGTTAGTATTCAATTTTAAAATCAAATCATAATCATGAAAAAGCATGAAACAATCAAAAATAATAATGTGTTAAAAAAAAAAAACATTTTAGAATTTTTTTTTCTAAAAAACATTTTTAACAACTTTATATCATTAAGGTTGTTAACTAAACTATTTTGTCACGGCTTACAAAGTGTTTTTAATGATGTATTATAATTAATTTTCCATTCTAATCTCTAATACCAATATTTTCCATTCTAATCTCGAATATCTTACTTTACTGAAATAAAAGTAAAATTAGTTGTTTTTTTTCTTTTTTAACTGTTTAACAAATATTGTTAGAAAAATGTTTTTATTAAATTAACTGACCAATCAGTGGCGTCCCCTCTCTAGACTAACAGATGAATGGTGAACTAAAAAAGGTCATTTAGAAAGAAAATTCTGGCATATTTGCTTTTTATTCATTTTGGTGCCATCCCTCTGTGTCACATTGTGATGGAGACCAGATGTACGGTACGCACACCCTTAGACGCCATTGTGAGCAATCTATAATATAAACAACCAGCCGTATAAAGCCGTATTCTCTTCTCTTAACGGAGCTTACAATATTTCTAACGAAAACATTATTTGAATTTTTTTAAATAAAATCAATACTAAAAAAAAATATTTATGTTAAAAAAAATTTTATTAATGTAGTTAAAAAGTAATTTTTGACTAACTTTAAGCTTAACGAAGTGATAAGAATACGGCCCCAGGTCACTGGTTCCATAATCTGTAGCTTATTACTCCTTGGCAATTAATTTAAAGATAAAAATAATTATTTACGGGCTTTAAATAATAAATCAATTAGTTTAAACGCAAAGCATTTTAATTTCAGTAAAGGGGTCGTCCATAAATTACGTCACGCTTTAGGGGGGGGGAGCAATTAGTAGTTTTGCGGAACTTGTTACTAAAGTGTTACGATGTTGTGACATCGTAACACTTTAGTAACAATTTAGACAAGTTTTACTTCACAAAGTAAATAATTATCTATTTAATTACAAATATAAAATAAATTATACATTTATAAGGTTTCGAATGAATATAATTAATCTTAATACCAAATAAATTATTTTTTAAACAGTTTTATAATAATGATATTAAAATAAATAAAATTTATAAATATAAATAATTAGTGGGCATGGCACGTAAAAAAGACGTCTTTTGAATGTCTTTTGATCTTTTGAACGTCTTTTTTAGGTTCCTTGCCCCATAAAAGAATAACTATAAAAATATAAAATTAAATTTTTTGTTAGCGTCAATATACTAAGCCATGGTTTATAATAAAAGAACACTGTATCATAAATCTTCACTTACTGCCTCTGTCGTATTAACACATGCAGTAATATATATACATATAATAGTAAAGTGGCCCATTTGAAAGTTTTTAATGAACCATATTCTGTATCTTTTTAATGTTACAAAGATTGTATCTAAACTTATAGTTACTAACGTTATTTATATTACAAGCTTCAGTCTTGTATTAAACGTCGGTAATAGCTACCATGCAAAAAATGGTTGGTAAATCTTTCAAAAATAATGTATCAAATGAAGCGGAAGAGACAGTACTCAGATTAGGTAAAAAACGATTATTTGATTCAATAAGTAAAAAAAAATTGCCGTTAAAAAAATTAGACGTTTTTCTTGTTTAAACTGTTGAATTATTTTTTGTTATTTTTTTAATTTTAAAGTAGGAAAGCTACAAATTAATAGAGCTGTATTTAAAAAAATGAAAAATACAAAACTGCGATAATGCCAAAATTTTCAAAAAAAGAACTAGTTAGAGAAACGCATACAGATGCCAATGGATCTTATGTAAGTGAAAGGCAATACCTACTTATTTTAAGAATGATTTAGCAGTAAATGGAGTAGCTTTAAATTATATTACACTTTCTAATCCGTCAGTTCATAGAGTAAAATCAGCTAACAGATTCCACCTAAATTTTCGGAAATTCATTAGAATACAAAAAATATTTAAAGCAAGCTACTGAAAAAAAACGAAGAGCGATGTATGCCTAGCCTCCTCTTTTTTTTCCACCAAATTGCTAGGTACTTCTGAAAATCGCCGACGGAAATGGTCAAAGCCAATGTTTTTTAGTGTCGGACTTAGCTGATAAGTGATAATTAAAATTATCTGTTGTTGGACTTGTTTACGATACAAACAGTGGAACGAACTGTTGTTACACGTATAATGGAGCTGCAACATTAATTGAGAAGCAAACATGTCGTTCTCTACATCGACTGTAATGTAGACATCATATTTTAGAGCTCTTTATAAAAGAAACTTCTAATGCTATTTGTGATCCAAAAAAAAGGTTAGAGGGAGAACTTCATAACCTTAATAAAAATATAAAAAACTTTGAGTGTGTGACTGCTCTCATGATTAAAATAGTTTTTAATTTCAACATACACTTAAAATAAATAAGTAGTCGATGGAATGCTTCGAGTTCTTTCTAACAATTCCATTTCCTAACAAATATTTCTTTGTGAGGAAGTGAAGCTTCTGTTTTTTTTCGCTGGACATGTTAAAAGAGGTTTCTGCATTCGGTGTGCTGATTTTAACCATCATGAAATATAGATCCTAGATAGCACATTAACGTTGGCCCAACGTCGTAAAATTGGTTGGCCGATAGTCGGCAATTGACGTCGCCACAACGTAGATTTGGAAGTTGGCGCAATGTCACAGCTAACCGTTGGGCTAACGTTAGCATTCTAACGTTAGCCCAACGGTTAGCTGTGACAGTTAACCGTTAAAGCGTCAAATTCTAACGTTGGTCCAACGTAATATTATTATATATAAAAATCAATTTAAAAAACAACTTTAATTTATCTGGCAACCACGTGCGTACTACTTGTTATGTAATGTTCATTAAAACTGTTACATTGATTTTTTTTTTCTCCAAATAAGTTTTTAATAAATTTTTTTCGCGATAAACGAAAATTAATTTTTATGTTGATAAATGAAGCAACTTGATTTTATAATAACACAAAAAACCGAATTTGTTGTAATAATCATTATAATAACATTAAAATATTCGTACAAATAATACACATAGCAAAAAATAGTAATGCTTTTTCGACTGCTTAGCTTTCTTACGATTTTCGATTCTTTAATTTGCTTGAAGGGAACTTTGACATTTGAAAGCTGCTCATCATACGATTTGATAGAAATCTCAGAACTTGCATCTTCCGTTTGATGAACTTTTAGGCAAAACAATAACTACTGTTAAAATTATATATATATATATATATATATATATATATATATATATATATATATATATATATATATATATATATATATATATATATATATATATATATATATATATATATATATATATATATATATATATATATATATATATATATATATATATATATATATAATTTTATAAGGCTGTACTGGAATCCGGCTAATTTTTTAAATTCTATTCTCTACCTTTATAAATCTTAAAAACGGCCTTGTATGGAATTTTGTTACCATATCTGGTGCAGATCTTCTAATGACGCCCTTTCTCTTTTAGACAAGGTGCAAAGACACATTGTAAACATAGTTGGACCTGCTCTTGCAGCTAACTTTTAATCATTCTCACATTGTCGTAATGTAGCTTCTCTTCCTCTTTTCTACAAATACTATAATGGGCACTGCTCTAAAGAGCTAGCGTCTCTTGTACCATCAACTAAAATTCACTCTCGTGTTACTCGTCATTCAAATAAATCTCATCCTTTTTCTGTTACTGTTGCTAAGTGCTCTAAAAACTATTATTCGTCTAGTTTTTTTCCTCGAACGTCAGTTCTTTGGAATTCGCTTCCTTCATCTTGCTTTCCTAATTCATATAATTTGCAACTTTTTAAGTCGTCTGTCAATCGTTATCTTGTTCTACAATCTTCATATTTTCTCTTCCAGTATCTTCCAACACTAATTGGTTTATAAAATGTTAAAAAAAAAATTCGGCTAAAAATCGGCTCTGGCAAAAAGTTAGCAAATCCGGCAAAACTTTAGCCGGATTTCTGAATTTTGCTCAAATATTTTTACAACCTTTTTGCCTGTGTTTACATGTATACTTAATATTTTATTTATAAAAATCAATTTTCTTTGTAATTCTATGAACTCCATGTTTGTAATGGTATCTGTATTTACATTTCTTTACAATTTATTAGCTAAGATTAATTGCAAACAAAACTCAACTAAACATTCTGAAGAAAAGACACACAATGTTCTAAAGTGAAAACACACGATAGATTCTGAAGTAATGACACAAATGTGGTTAAATATATTTTCAATAAAGTTACAGTGCAGAAGTTACCCA